CAGTCCATGGTGGCATTGTCGGCCTTCGTCAGGAATCTTATCGCAGAGTGTTGATTTTTTTCGTCCAAAGTGAATGTAAAAATGTCCACTTTAAGCCTCGGGCTCATCTTTAAACCACGGAAAATTACCTTTCAACAATGTTTATGTCTTGAACAACTGCAATTTTACCATTCTCCTTCCACCTTTCATGTTTCAAAAAGGCCTCCTCTCAGTCTCTAAACGGATAACCAGGGAATCATTTGTCATTTTTTAAAGAAAAATCTTTTTGAGCCCATCAAAATAAGGGGGAAGGAAAGGAGATCTGCGCATTTGAATGACCCATTCTCTCTGATGGCATCGAAACGGAGGCGCGTTGGAACTCAAACAAAAACTCTGCAAGCTTGCTCTGTTAATTATTTTCCCCACCCTCCCACCCTCTCCCCCAAATAAAGATGTTCAACTTTTTTTAGTTTCTGTGAGGGCTCATAAAATGTAGAGGGTCTTTGCTCTGTTCCACTAACTCTACAATTGTTAATCTTCCCGAACGAAGAACACTGCTCTAAATATTAAATCTCTTTCTTTATACTTCCCTTTCTAGCAGTAATAAGGGGTTGTTGTGACGTTGACAGGTAGTATAGAGGTCAGTCAATTTATCTTTTGATGCGTTTTCCGAACGGGTGGAGCGGCTGAAGCGGTAGGTGCTAGGTTTGATGAGTAAAACGAAGTAACTAACTCACAATGCTGCAAGAAAGATCTTTAAACCAGCGGGAAAGATGTCCTTCCATCTCCTGGCCTTCCTTGTCGCAGTCGGGGTGGGGAGGGGATGGAGGAAGGTGACTGTATATCCTTTCGATAAGAGAAAGAGGTGTGTATGTGTATGACGACTACCTCAGTGAGTGGAGGTTAAATCACTTGAACTAAATTGTCTTGCCCCTTTTGACGTTGTTGAAGTTGCAAGAACATTAAACCTGTCTAAATTTTTGACCAAGGTGAATCACCTTGTTGGTGATATTGTTTGGGGTAATTTTTACAATGGCGAGATCAAGGAACTGTTGAAGTAGGTCTTATGATCATTCCTCACCTTCATGACTGCACATTCATTTGTCAGTAAGTCAAATCAGAGCAGGTGGGAAAGAGGGACGAAGAGATGTGGGAAGAGGAGGAGGAGGAGGAGGAGGAGGCGATGAAAAGGAAGATAAATCGGGAGACACAGTTGGTGTGATGCGTTGCAACTGTCATAATGCTTTTCGCCTTCATATCCTCCACCTGCCCCTCGCTCTCCTCCGCCGTGCACCCGCAAGCAGCATCAGAGCAAACGATGACTACAAAAGAGTGGATTTCTCATAACTCTTGCAACACGGCATCAGCTGTTCCCTTGTCTTGATCCACCATTCAACGATGTACAAAATCTCCTCTGCGTTCTGTTTTTTTTTGAAGTAGAAAAGCTGTTCCCATGTGCACTTTGCAGAGGCCTTTCCTACTCCTCAATCACTTCGTCTCTTCTGCCTTCCAATGGTGTTTCCAACTTATGTGGAAGTTGTTGTCGTGACCGCTTGCATTGCATCTCTTCACTTTTTCTCATATAACCACCCATTCCTTTGATCTATCCCACAGTCATTCATCCGCCCACCCACATGAGAGTCCTGGTTTCCCTTCCAAACTGGATGTCTTATAGCACGGTTTGGGTGTCTGTCATTGCCAGTCTACACAGTCATGTGCACAACCCACCCTCTTAACTCGCGATTATTCCCCTTCCCCCCCCTTCCCTTCCATCCTCTTGCCTAATTACATCGACTTGTCCCTAGCCCATTCATATTACAAACCTCCATCTTTCCTCTCATGATTGAAATTGAGAGAGATGACATTAAAAAAAGGCCAATACACTTTTGAGACCAAAATTGCCCAAAATTAAATTACACATTAAAAACCCAGAATTGACAATTTGACATTGACACGCCGTTGTGCATCAACTGGCCCTTTTCGCCCTTTTGCGGTTTCAATAATGTTTGCTGGTCTAAAGAGCATCCTCAAGGTAGAGTGTCTCCACATATTTCCAATATCACTTACCTTTCCCTTCAGTTCAACTCTTGAGAAGGGAATTTGATTTGCTTTTTGATTTTACCTTGTCACTAGGTAACTCGTGCGTCGTCTTTTTTGCCTTAGACATTAGAGTTTATCTGATTCTCAAATGCCATACTTCTTGAATCCCGTCTTAACAACAAAAAAAAATGAAGGAGTAGGAGGAGGTTGTGGTGGTGGAGGCTCCAATTCTCCTTTTATAAAACGAAGGCGCTCCACGTTTCCGATGTGGTTTAAAGATGTGTAGTCAAGACAATAGCTTAAGCCCTATTGTCTTCCTGGCTCTTTCCCCCCTTGTTTCAAGTCTCAATGAATGGTAGGAGGGTTTAACCACTTTCCTGCCAAGAGTCAGCTTTTATCTAGCGACCAAGCCGATTGCTACTCCTGCCTCCGTGGCACCGCAAATGGGAGGCGTGACCACTCCCAGCCACCACTGTGACATTCACTACGAGACGCGCCTACTACCAGCAAATTTGTGTCTCTACCCTCCTTTTTCTCCCTTTTTTTTTCGTAAAGTTGTAACAAGGTTTAAAAAAATCTTTCTTAGTTTGCATATCTATGCTTTTTTAAAAATAAATTTCTGCTAAGCAATTTTGCTGGGAAAAGTGCAACGTATTTGACAGGGAATTTTGTCGTATACTTCATGTCTTGGAATTTGTTTTTGCAGACACGCACTTGGTTGTCGTGACTGTTGGTCCGAGGATAGGAGGTCTTAAATGGTCCCAGGCCGTGAGAGACTTAACTTATTTTGATACTCAATCGAAACAGTAAAGTTATTGAGGGGTACATACTTATGAACATTTAAGTAGCATTGCCGGTCGTGTGTTTTTACAAAACAACTCACGTGTTTTTAACTACTGTCTTCCAAAAAGCGGATATTGGTTTAACTACTAATTGTATTTGTAGATTTTAAATGTTTGATAGCTTTGTGGAAAAATATCGCCTTTTTAAAAGAAATTTTTTCACACTCCCATTTCCTTTTAAAGAAGAGCCACTACCATGAAATTCACACGAGCACGCATGCAGCTCGTTACAACGTTTTTCGTTTAGGACTTAAAAACTGTCGAAATGGGTGGAAAAACGAAAGTAGATCAAGAGCTACATTCTTTTTGGGGCTTAGAGTAGTATATTTTGAACAAAATATGATAGAGATGGAGTCTTTAGATAGTCCCTTTTGGTATCTGAATGCCTTCTGGCTCTTCTTGTCCTCTTTTGCCGCTACATTCGATGGCAGGAGAAGGAATGGTGAATCCCACTTCTGAACATTATGCTTTTACAGATTTAGCATTTCAACTCTCTTCACCTTGAAGCATCGACAATATTTAATTGCTTAAACTAACCCAGGCTCAGACTGTTCGGCATTTAAAATGCTTTCAAAGTCCCCTAGGTGTGGGAGCTCAGCCGCATGCAGTCGAGGGATCTGTGACCTCTGCGCTTATGTGCAGGAGGAATTAGAAAGTAAAGCCACTTGGTAACCCAATTTTCTTGACACAAGGTGATGTAGGTCTCATAATCGCTAACATTTGATCCTCGATTGCAAACACCTTTTTGTATCCCTTTGCCCTCCATTCTCCTTTTGTCACCTCAAAATTTACAAGCGTGTCTACCTTAATGTAACGCCATGCAATCCATTTCTGTTCATTGTATCATTTTGAGAATGCGTACAAAGGCACAGAACCAACTTTTAAACACACAGCTATAAAATTCACAAGTGGGCGTAGGAGGCCCTCCCTCACCTCTCATGCACGGCAAAGTTGCAGAGTTGGACGGATTTGTGCACACTTAAAACGTGCTTTAAGATGGTCGTAATAGGTGTTAAAAGAAACTCTGATTTTCCCCTTCAATAGTCTACATCTTTGCGAAAAAATGAGTCTAAGTTTCGTATTCGTCCCTCGCAGACCTCGTTAAAGTCGTATGGGGCAGTAGCAGGATAGAACATACTACTTACAACCATAGAGAGTAGGTAGTACATAAGCAAAAAATGGTAGAAGCCCTGCCGTCATTATGCTCTCTTTTATTCGCCTCTAATGGACTTTGTATTGTATGCAGTATGGACCTATTGCACCATAAGGAAGGACACTTAAACCCCATTGCGGTCCTCTTTAGGGATCAGTGGTCCAACGGGATGGAGCACAAGTGCACAACCCCTAGAAATAATAATCTTTGCGAGCACAGACACACAGCTATTAAAAATTCTTGTAAAAGTCAAGAAAACAAAAGTCACATTAACAGGGATAGTGGGTTTTGAAAGATCTTTCCACCTTGTTTAATGTGCTTGGCAGGCTGGGATAAAAATAGGTGCAACACTTGACATTAAGGGGCAAATGACGCAACATTTTTGCCTTTTCATAGCACAGAGTTAATGCGGATTAGATCAATTTTTCACAGTCTTTACAAAGGATGCATCTCTTAAACATCATTTCCCTTCACTATCATTCATTGCAGCAGAAAGAGCATTGTTATCAAATTTTTTTAATGCCTCACCTCTAGTGTCCTTGCTACCTTTGAAGTCGTAAATAGGTGAAGTGGGGCAGCAGAATGAGTTTCTTAGTAGCAAGTGGTGAAGGAGTCTAATGGGATCGGGCAAGTGCCAGTCATTAACTTCCCCTCTGTAAAGAAGTAGACATCTGTCGCCAGAATCCTCAACCCATCTTCGTGACAATCGAAAGTAGTGCTAGATAAATACACTGCTTGCTAAAGTCCAGCAGGTGTAGAACGCGAGGTTGAAAGTGCAATTAGTGCAGACTGAAGAAATCGCATCAACACTTTCTGAAGAAATTGTTTGTAATAATCACGACTGAGGTGCTGGAGAAACGCGTGTGGATTTGGGACTCCTTCCCTCCATTTATGCCTCGATGCACCATAAACCTAGTACTAATTAATCATCCAAAGGAATTCTGTTGCCTTTTGCAGCAAGCAACACTTCGAATGGAGTAGCCAGGATGTTGTCGAATCACTTTCGACTTCACCGCTCCTTAAACATCAGTGCCCTTCTTGCCTCTGGAGGGTACTACATTGATGATAACGGCTACCTCGTTGCTATTGGCAATGGCACTCGGTATCGTTTGCCCTCGGGACCACCGGAAGGTCGTTCCAGGGATCCCTATGAACTGCAACCCATTTTACCGGGCAAAAATCAACAACTGGCTGATTCAGCTGTTGAGTGGTTGGATTTGACAACCTCTACAACAACTACAGCATCTAGCACTACACTGGCGAGAGTAAATCTTCCCTCCAGGTTGAATTTTACGTCGTCAGGCATCCAGGCTACGCCAAGCACGCTGCATTTGTCCTTGGCATTGATTGCCTGCTCTGTCGCGCTGATAGCCAATTTGGGACTGGTGTCCATCAGTTGCTGGTACCTCTTTCGTGGACATGAAAAGATGCGAAGAAGGACAATGGCTGCTGAGCCTAGGAATTCTATTCACCTGCAAACATTTAATGCACGTCAAGATGAGGGAATTGGACCAGTGACAGAAGCAAAGGGTGAAGTCCATCAGACTGGGATAACTTCTGTGTCATCGGGAGGTAAGAGGAAACGCTTATTGTGCATGATTTTAAGTTCGTGAAAGCCAATCCTGAAATACCCTGTCCTTACAGATAGTCATTCCAGCTCCGTATCCCTCAGCTCCGATGACTCTCATCAGCCTCGTCTACGGACTAAGAGGTCTACGAGCAAAGACCTTTCTCCTGTAAACCCTATCCTTCTTAACTCCCGCTCTTGTCTAGGTGTTGGAATTCACACTTCTCTTCTCGGTCTCCTACTGGCCTTCGTTCATCTCCTTGTCACTTGTTACAACATATCTCACACACCTCTTAGCTCTGTCCTCTGTCTTTTTATCACCTCTATCACCACTGATACAATCTTCTGCGTCTACTTTCATCTCGTTGCCTGCCTTCTCTGTCTGATTCTCATTGGATACCTTTCCCGTCCTTCCACTACTCGTTCAAGCCAACAACGGTTCGCTTGTTTAGCTCTCTCCCATTCCCTACCCTGGGCACTTGCTGCGGGTTCCGCGCTGTTCATCACCCTTAAACCATCCTCTTCTTCTCAAGTGAATATCTTCTTTACTGGATTTCATGCATCCTGTAGCATGGAACACCTTCATGAACTCTATCTCCTCACTGTAGTACTCTTGGTTGTGATTCCACTCGTTGGTGAATTTATCTTTGTTCTGCTCCTCTTCTGTTGTTGTCGACGTCTTCCAAGAAGGACCTGCTTCCTTGCTATCCTCCTTCCAATCACCAACGCAACATCCTTCATTCCTGTGCTTGCGATGGGTCTACCAAATCTGGTCCTCCTTCCACTTATCTTAGATCCAATATTCATGGCTCTGCTATACCGGTTTTCCATCCCAATGGAAGAAGGTGAATTCCATGACCTTCCAACCAACCCCTCAAATCAGGATCGATCTCCATTACATCAAACTGTGGCAGAGATGTCACCATCCCTCTCCTCGGAGATCTACTTTCCTCAGACAATTCTGGCCATCGCACCACATCGATGTAGTCATGGCACTGAACTGTCCAGTGTCTCGCCAAAGCTTTGTCCACATTATCAGCAGATCCTGACGCATTCGCAGAACTGTACGGAGAGAAGTTCATGCAATGAGATTCTACAACCTGCTGGTGAGTTTAGCACAAGTATTTTGACATTATTTTGTTCAAATCCATCTGGAGCTGATTTCATCGTCGTGAAAGCCGTTTTAGGAGAAATTTAGCGATTGTGGATTAATACTATAAAGTAATCTTTAAAACAACTGCTTAAGGTAACTTTCTCAACTACTTTTCGACTATATAAGGGACTTCAAATTATTGCGGAATGGACTGATATGTGAAACTTGCAAATCTTGTGAGTAGTATGTACTGTTAAAGGATCAACATGCTTTTGGTAGTCAATCCATTGTACAATCTTGTAAGAATCAGGCAATTTACGGAGAATTGCATTCTTTTTACCAGGCACCCCTCCCTTCGCCAACGTTTCCAGTCATAAGGTCCTTATTTATAATTCAAAGAAATTACCTCTCCTTTCTGGAATATGGCTGATTCTTCCATTACTTTTAAGTGCATCAGTGGTTGATGATATTTAAAGTAAAAATATACTAAAATGGTATATTTGGTGATGTTTCACCAATTTGTTGGAATGCTTTTGAAAAACACTTTCCACACATTAACAGTCTACCTTGTCGATGCTAAACAACCCATGAAATAAGCAAGGAACACCGACCAGCACATTTAATTGGGGAATTTGTAGAGTGAGGGAGGGGTCAGCGCGCTGGGATGTATGGAGAAACTTTGGTGGTGTTATACGTGCGTATAATCTCCTCTTACATTTTCTTCCACTCAATTTTTTTTCGCCTCGCACCAGCCTGTCTACAGGTTTGGGTAGGAACAAGTGGTTCCTTAGTGTGCTCCCAGAAGGGTGATGGGATTTATCTCCACAAATGATTTCGTCCGAACCATCGAATTTCTTTTGCCTATTAATGGTGGCTTGGGCTTGATCAAGTAAAAATTGGCTCCAGTCATTAAATCGCTTTTAAACCCTGTTTTGTGGAGAAAAGCGCGTCCGAATACACTTTGAAGGGGATTGTTGAAAACCGTACTTACTCCACCACAAAACCAACTTCCTTGCTCAAATTACGTTGTTCAAAGCTATGTCACGGTTATGTCAATTCAGCTGTCACGTTAAACCGTGTCATTATGTCCATTTGGAAGGCGATTTATCAACTTTAGAATAAAGAAAACTGTAAGGGGAAGGGAACAGCCTCCTCTATGTGCGTGGGTAAAAGCGAACTAAGAATAAAGTTTGTTCTTTCCCACCTCGTACCCGCGTCCCCTCTTCGGTGAGTGCTGTGATGAATGCGGTACACCTCCGTTGATCATGTTACCAAGATCACAATAAAAAGGAAAAAAAGGAAACCATAAAACTAAGTTACATTATCAAGTACAACCGGAACATATAAGAGGGGTGGATGATGGAACTGCCTGCTTTTAGTTACTCTTCCTTAGACGCTCGGGGATTTTAGGGCGCCTAGAGACACGGAAGCGCATGTTTGTGCTTTTAGCCTAATCCAACCTCTTGGCACAAATATTTATTTTTATATATGAAGCAAATTGTAGGAAGGTTTGACCTAAAAATGTGTGACTTCGTCTAAAAGTGCTTCTAAACAATTTCGGTTCGCTTAGGGTTCTGAGCTAGTGTGCAATTCCTCTTAAAGTCACATTTTAATTTTTTGTAAAAATACTTTGGTAGACAGCGAAATGTCCCATGCATGTTACGCCAGTGATATGCCTGTTGAAGCTAGGTAGGAGGCAAATGCCGCGTGAATTTTGTGAGTACAAACTCTGGAGTAGCAAATAGCTGTTGAGACTTAAGGCTTAAAAAGCATTGCATCGGAGCTTCCAAATTCCCGGACGCCTTCTCAAGCATTTCCAAAGCGCGAATTAAAGCACTAAGAAAGGCATGAATTGAGTAAAAAGTGGAACAATCGGCTTAGCGTTGTGCGTCGCGGTTGTCTCATTTAATCAAACACATACACACGTCCCTCCTTAAAATGCTTTAACAGTGCAAAAGAAGGGGATTGCCACCTAAATGATCGTCGAATCTATCGGTTAAAATACCGCTCCTCTCCCCCTCCATCTCCTCCATCGCCTTCTTCTTGTGCCAAAAATTTGCGTTCCACCATTTGCGCCACACATTAACTGCATCATTAATATAAGTAGCTTTGCATTTTATCCTCCCCGCGCTCCCACCACATTGGTCCGCGCTCAAGGTCATATCAACGAAACGATTATGGCGCACCCGCACGCGCGGCAATTGAAGGCCGCCTAGGCCTTGGTGCTGCCACCCCGATTGCTTGTTATAAAGCCTCCCCTTTTTTGAATAGAACAAGTAGAAAAAAAATGGAATACACATATGCACACACACGCACACACCACACAAAATGCCGGAAATGTCTGCAAATGAACCACGCCCTTGGTGGGTGCGAGGTAAAAAGCCAATTTAATGTACTACAAGGGCATCATTAAGTGACTTTAAAATAATATTTCTTACCTTTCTTACATCTAAGTGAATTTGCTGTTACTGACTTTTGTGAGACTGGCACAAAGAACTCGACCACCTCCACAAACGAGCTTAAAATCAGACACTAACATGGAGTGAGCATTTGCAGGACCATGTAGTTAAGGCATTGCCTAATTATCCGCTTGACATCCACTAGCATTATTCCTCTTCCTCCTCGCCCACGACTATGCCATTGTAAATAAACAGCAGGGGGGATTGTCGACATTCTGTCCCAAATTAGTTCCGGGTTAATTTTTTGGCAAGAAAAGCGAACCGGTTGAATTTTTTTACCTGACTGGATAGGGTTATTAATCATTTTCATTGACAGCAACAATCTATTACGCTTGACAACTTGAGAGTGTCAAGCTAAGTTGTTAAATTTGTCAGGGAAAAGACGAAGGGCGTAGATTAAAAGACGAATATCTTCACTCTTGTCAAAACTGCCATTCTCTGTTAATTGGACAAGTGTCAGTCTTAGACATCATGTGTCAAATTTGTACACCTCGACGAAAAACGTGTTGTAAAGAGAGGATCCTTACTTCGCCAACTGTCTCATCTCTAAAAGTGCCTTTCATAATCTGTCGTCAGTGTTTTGTGAGGAGAGCGCTTTGGCATGCGACGATAGGGCTGCTGGGAGAAGTTTCTTCGATAATGCACACTGATGGCACACTCGACTCGGTTAAGGCAAATCGGCTCGACACCTGACTGACTCCTGCTTTGATTGTGTGCCAGTTCAGGATCTACACATGGCAACCCTAGATTGACGACACAATCAGTCACATGTTCCCTTTGCCTTAGCAAAAGGAATACACATTTGATGCTTTATAATGATGCAAAACCTTCAAAATTTTTGAAGCATCATTATAAGTGTTTCAAATTTTGATTTTTAAAAAAGTTGACCACTCAGGAACTGCCTTAAAAGCTCGCCTTGTCTGGAAATTTTAACTCCCTATCGGGCGCCAACTATTGCGTGATGCCGCAAACGTCTCCCCTTTTATTTCTACCCCCACTCTCTGTAGGCGCAAATATCAAAGCTTTCTTTTTAACCGAGTCAATTTTTTATTTTATTTTACTCTTGCACATAAGTATCTCACGGTTCTGTGATTTTAAGTCCTTACAGTAAGAATTTTCTTGCGGCAGATACCTACTATAATCTTCAGTAAGTAGTATGCTCCACCCTTTTACATTATCCTTTAATTTAGGTAAAATTATGAAAAAAAGTGATTTTTTAGAGGTTAAAAAGTGGCACACAATGACAAATGTTAACGACTCTTGGCTGTCAATCAAGATGCGTGTGAGAATTGCTTTTCCCAAGGGAGCATTACAACACCATTGGAGCGGAGCCTTTCACATTTTAAAGGCTCTAAATCGTGAAGAAAGACATTCACTTACGCATTCCTTATTAGGATAAAAAAATTAACCGAAAGCAGACAGAAGTTTGTTGGCGTGTTCGCTGAAAAGGTGATTGGCAAAATGGCGTCCATATTGCGTTCCGACTTTTCACTACTTCCTTGCTGCCCAACCTTCGGCAGCAGAACGAAACGTCGCAGCGCCGCTCAGTTTATATACCTGTTGCTTCTTGTTTTGCTTGAGAATTTTAAGTAAATAGTCGGATCCCAAAAATAACTTAAGCTGAAACTGGCACGGTTGGTGTAATGAGACTTTGTGAGTTTTCAAGCTTTCCTGTAGTAGCTACTTGCGGATCCAGTCGATGCGAGTCTCGGCGGGCGCGTTTACAGATGCGATCTCCGTGTTGGCATTGTCCATCACAGCACGCATGAATTGCCAAATTTGGCATGAATAGGGTCGTTTATGTTAAATTCTTGTAAAACGTTAAATTTACAAATACCATTGGCTCTGAGTGTCTAGACAAGACGTCGTCATTCCGTCCTCTGGCATAAATCCCATGTGTCGTCGATAGGCAGCATCTTTTTTGCTTTGGGCTCTCCCCCCTTCGACAGTAGTTCACCATCCCCACTCCCATCCCTCGCCTCATCTCCTCTCAACTTCAAAAGCCTCAGTCGTAAGCGACCATTGAGTCAAAGGGGTTCCATATATTCTCCTCTCAAGACATCAGTGCCATCAAAGAGGCACAAAGCAAAAAAAAAGATTTTGCTCTCTATCTCTATTGACACCACATGGGCGAGAGTAAAGTACAATGAAATTAAAAACACAAATTTTGCAATGAATTTTTGGAAATTTAATAGCTCCTCTCTCGGTGGCGTTTAACATCCCGTCTTTCGCCCCCATTCGGCGTCAAAAGAAAATAAAATTTTATTGAGTAAGCTTTAGAGAGAGGATTGAGTAGAGGATGGAGAGGAAAAGCGAGGCGAGGTCGGGGGAGGAGGAAAGCTGAAACCTCGTGTTGCCTTCCATCCTTGAAATGGGAATAAAGTTTTAGTTTTGTTTTACGTGCTTTTTTAAGGGAACCTAAAAACTTCAATTGACAGCGTTTATATGTATCCTCTTTGCTCATGAGAGGTTGTAAATATATCACAATCTCTCTTGCAGTGTAAGAGGAGATTTCTCAACTTACGTTATCGTCACCAGGTCGGTGACGGACACATAAAACCCGTCATTTGCGCGCGACTTTATCAAGAGTTACTTCAGTACCACCGAAGGAATGGCCTTGTAAAGCATGAACTCTGCACGAAGACAGAGATTCAAAGCACTTTTCATTTTCCCCTCCGTTTCAGTAGTATCTAATGGATTTCTTAGTGCTGATTTTTGCAACTCAGTGGCGGTGGTTTGCCGCATCATCTGATTGGTCATCGTCAAGGTCATTACTAGTAGTAGTCCCCCAAACACAGCTATCCACGTTGAATTCCTCAACTCGTAACAAGGTGTATCGGTGAAGTCGAGGAGCAAGCCACTGCCACCACCACAAGAAGAGGAGACGAAATCATGGGCAATCCTCCGTCCTCATCAAGTCACCTATACGAGTACGAGTAACAGTGCTGCAAGCAAGTAGAAGGTCGAATGTTTGGATGGCGTGAGAAAAGTTGTTGTACAGTTGAATAAAATTGGTTCGTCAAGGGAGAGAGCAAGAGAGACAGAGAGGGGAGGGATAGAGGAACGGAGAAGGGCGAGAGACATTAATTGGCGGAAGACAATTATTGACATGCATGCGCGCAGTTGTGGTGGGCGGTGGTTGTGCTTGCTAAAACAAGCGTCAATATTTAAATAGTCGTTTATGACGATTTTTGGTGTTATTTCCTGTTCAAATGGCATTAAAAAAGGCAACCAATTGATCCTCACACATTTCCGTCCATAGGAGCGTAAAATTTTTGCCTCTCTCCTCTCCTACCCCCATCTCCTCCCCCTTCCCTTCCACCCGTAGGGCACGGCTAGCTGGAGCCATTTTTGAGTTCATTTGAAAAGCCCTGTCAAAATGTGAAAAGAAGTGCATGTTGAAAGGTACTGTTGATGAGGTCAATCCATGTGAAAACAGTACCTTGGTAAAGGAAATATCTTCATAATCACTATGGCGCTTTTTTGCCTTCCAAGAGGTGGGCAGCAAGGTATTCACCGACTCTTCCCTCCCTGATGGTGTTTTGGCCTAAGAAAAGGAGTCGACACATTTTGGGCGGGACAGAGATACGATTTACAAAGTCTGGGCGAGGTCTCATAGTCATATTTACACGCAAATTAATGCCAAGTGCTCACTTTTGTTCGCTCCTCTTTATCCATCCCTATGTGGTTGGAGTTTTAAAAGCTGTCCATATGTCAGGGTTGATTGTCGATAAAATTTTTATGAAGGCGGAAAGACGTAGGACGACGCCCTTTGTCCGTTTTTCTGTACAAACCTTCTCCATCGTTTGCTTCATACTGATATCGTCTGAAACATCAGTCGAAGTGTCACCCATTCGTGGTAACCCTCTTGTAGAAGATTCGTTGTAACCCAGCATCTCATCAGAGCAACATCGGGGAAGAGGGCTACTTGTTTCTTCCAGACTGACAAGTCTCATGTAGTAGTTGCCTCCTATTTATGTTATTTCACGATAACCTTACGTTCTCCCAATTTAGCCTGGCTAACGCTCTAAAATGGATGATAGGCACTGTATGCAGGCCTACATAGATCCCCTCACAGCCGTCAGTTTTTCCTCATTCACTTAAGCGGTAAAGTTGCAAAGACCAGCATAAGTTAACAAAATAAAAGTTGTGAACTTTCATCCAACCTCACAGTTTAATATTTGTTGGTCTTCCTCTCTCCTCCCCTCTCTTCTCCCACTTTCCTACTCTCCCTTAGGTGTTACGAGGTGGGGTAACAGAACCTACTCCCCATTCTTCGGTAATAGTTATTGCAGACACCTCCATGGCCTGAGGATGCTAATTAAATTGGAGTTTGCTCACCTAACTAAACAAAGCAAATCTTGGTGTTTGCCCTGTCAAACGTGTTTTAAACTCCTAATCCAGTTGACCGCTTAGTTCTTTATTTCTTTCATCCTCCCGAAGGAAGGAAGGAGGACCCTGTCTCTATGTCAAGTTATTACAAGTCACAACAGAAATTCGATTTGCCCAAAGGCGGGTGAAACAGAATGAGCCCATGAAAAGAGAATTCAACTACCTCTGCAGTAGTCTAGGTCGAGACAACAAACGTAGAAGCAAGAGGCATCAAAGAGAGGAGGGTAGCATAAATAATTGCGGAGTAACGGCACCCTCATCACCTAACTCTGTCACCTGTTTGTTTTTTCTATCCCCTCACCCAAATTAGATGTCCTTTCGAGTCTCTCCGCCGCCTCCTCCTCCAACACCAGTCCTGCGACCGCTGCCGTTATGGCAGCTGCGGCTGCTGCAGCCGCTGCCTCCACTAAACACCCATGGTCGCCAATAGCGACTACTACTACCCACTTCACCTCCGACCCCCCATCAACCGCCACTACTGTGTTACTGCGCACCCCCACAGGAGTGGTGGAGGCGGCTTCGCTAGATCGGCGTCTCCCATTGCCTATCTTCCTCACAGCCAATGGGAAGGTGGCGCTGGAGAGTGGTGAAGCCTGCGTGCTGGCAGGAGGCAGTGATCGCACCAACTAACCCGACTGTACATACTTGCAAATAAAGTGATCTCTTGTGTCACCTGATTTTTGTCGACTGGAATGAGCAAGGAGGAGACAGAGTGAGAGCGAGATCCTACGAAGACAGTCATAGAAGGGAAAAAGTTCTCGTCCTCGCAAATTGTGCTTCATCTACTGCAAGGCAGTGAGTAGTATGCGTCACTGTGTCAAATAACGTTTGGAAGTGTCTGCCAGGAGTGGCTATGTTCGGTAACACTCGGAGCGGAGATTATGAAAACAAAAATGACTTTTGTACACTGCAAGGCACTTAAGGAAGGGAGAAAAGAAACCTTTTACGAATCCGTCTACGACACGCCTGACGTCATCGATGCACTCTCGAATGGTCTTGAACAGTGCCAACCCAGTGCGTTGTTTTCTTCCCTATCTAGTCCACAGATAAGCGGAGGGGGACAAAAAATGTATCTCAATGGGATTTTCGAGGTGGCTCAGTAGAGTGAGGTTTAAAGACCTTCAATACTTGAAGTTCTAGGTTTACGGCGTGGGAAGGCCAAGGACTGCAGTTCACAAGGAAGAGTTGCACCAATGTGACCATTGGTTTGAATAGGCGTGTTTGTTATAACTGACGCCTTCAGAAAACTTTGGTGAAGACATGGGATCAACTTGGGGGATCGTGAATGCCGACCTGAAAGTCACGAGCACCTTAACTCACCCCATAAAACCGTGAGGATGAGTAATCTCATCGTTTCACCCAAACCTGAGGCATCCCACACCACCTGGTTGTCTCAGTAAAGGGATTGGGAAAATCGATTCAAGATCTTCCCACTCTACTCCCAGAGGCGATCATTTCTGAAGTCCGCTGAAACACAGTGTCCAAGTTTGAGCGCTACTCAGCAATGTGGATCTCGAAGCAGTTCCATTCTTACCCCCCCTCCCACAGAATTCCAATTGGCAAGAAATGGGAAAATGCAAACTATTAAACGTTCTAACGTCCATGACAAAGCAATTGCATAGGTTTCAGAAGAAGAGAATAGAAATCCAAAAACCTCAACAATCCTGTAAAACGTTCTGATGATCTAGGATCCCGCAAACTGAAGGGGACCAACCTGAACCCTTCACATTTTAACGCTATTCCCATGTTACCAATCACTGCACTCATCTATGGCAAATCCAACATTAAACACTCCCTTTTCTCCCTCCAAACATTAATGCGTCTTCTGTTTGCCTGCATGGTGCGCTATCCGACGGAAATATGGTTCAGACTGACCTACCGAGCTCCAGGGACCATTGACTGAAGTTTCTGCAGTTGGAAGGAGTACGACATACAGACACACACACACACACACACACAACTCAACATTTATTTCACCTCTCAATAAAGTCACCTTTTTGGGTGTTTCTCATCAAGCAAATAACAAAAGGGGGGGAGCGATGATTCAGCGAAAATTCGGTCAAGTTGAAGACGGAAAGCAGGTGAAGAGATCGGAGCTGGAGGAGATGATGATGGTGTCGTCAATGCGATAAGAGGAATCACCATCCCTCCTTCACCTTTTAGTTTCAAACCTTTCCCAGAGACGACTCGGAGCCCACAACCTCCATCCACAAGGAGGTGAGTCCTTTGTCACATCGAATGATCCTTATCAACTCGCTGTAGGATTGATTTTTACCTACAAAAGAGGAAACAAAGCATTCGGCACAAGAAATCCACTCAACAAGAGCGGCTCCGCAACGCGATTCTTCTAACCTATAAAAAAGGGGCCAAATTTAGACAGAAGTTTCACAATTTTCAAGCACCATATCGATGAATAGGGGCACCACAAGCAGCAAAGAATGCTATCTCGGATGAACAAATCCAACCACTACCCATTTCAAGAAAAGGTTTGAGAAGCTAAGAAATACCACTTGTTGCTATTTTGAGCCACAAAGAAACACTATGAGCAGATGCTACTTATAATGAGGTTTCAGCGACCACGCATACAATGCACTAAATAGAAGACGAAAAGGGCTGAGAAAGAAGAAAGCACACTCACGAATATCAGGAATTTTTGGTAACTCAGCGATGACCATGAGTGTAGCGGATTTCACCTCCTCCAACTTCTCCGACTCTCGTTTCACCAAGTCGCCTTTGGGTTGAAGTTGCAAGATGGCTGTCAGTGCCTGCGACAGCTCCGACATTTCTGCAATGATGAGAGGATCAAAATTGACGGCTAGTGAATGCTGGACTGCGCACAACGTCAGAAGTGAGGCATGACTTACTACCGATCCCAACCTATCTATATCCCAAAAACAATCTGGAGTTTGCTGAAGCAGACGCTCTCTCCTTCAATAAAGGCACGGTTTAATCGAGAAAACAAAAAACAACGATACCGTGTAAACATTGCTTTGGCGTGAACCTTCTTAAGTCCCTTGCAGCACCTGGAGCTCTAACACACATTAAAAAAACATATTGAAGCAGATTTAGTGATGCAGTAACAGCCGATTATGCTCTAGGAAGTGATGAAAAGGGTCGCCGTTAAAGCTTGTCAATCAAGCCCAGCAGACGATTTCAATTGGAGCACATCTTCCAGTAAAGGAGGCAAAGTAGTCAGAGACAGCTATTAATGCAACCTTTTAAAGACAACCATCGCTGAGTTGCGAGTATTCACCGGGTCAAAAGACCTTTTAGTACCTCCTAGGATGAGCCCTGGAAGCCCGATGCGGATGGAGGAGCATGGAGACTAGGTCACTCACTATTAACAACATCAATAGGAGCAAGTTGTATGACCCTTCGAAGAATGTGGCAAACAGCAAGTTTCACGTGGTTGTTATCCTTCAGGCCTTCGATGAGGGGAATCAGGAAAGCACTCATCGAAAGACGATCCGTGTAGTTCTCCAGCAAGGTTGACATGCACTCGTAGGCTGTCTGGAAGGCAGCAAAAAGAGAAAGACGGGAATAGGCGGGGTTAGAAAAACGTGTCTACTTCGATCTACTGTGGTCGTAAAAGCCATTCAAACCGTGTATTTTCTGGTGCAATGCAAATCAAAGTTTTGACGTCCCTCTGCACGCCAAGATGATCAACCTCACGGTTGAAACTGAAGAGTTAAACTTGAGAACCTGACAAAGTTGCTACGCCCCATCCGCCCTCCCTCTCCTATCCCATTTTCACAGCGAAAGCCCTCAACCACATCGCACAGCAGACTGCAATTTCATACATTTTATGCAGCCCAGCTCTCTCTCTCTCGCTATCGCCTCCTCCAAGAGGAACGACTTCGCAAAAAAAAATTTGGAATGTCAGCAACTCTCGAGTGACTTTTGCTTGTAGACCCGCTTGTGATTGACAGAGGTTCTGTCAATTGCATCACAAGATTCAAGTGGCAAGGGAGATTGACTTGAATGTGCTTCAAAAAGGAAGCACATTTAGGCGTTCTCCGCCTTTACAGAACCATTTTTGACAGTGTCAAGCATCACGCAACGTGAGTGAATGAGGAAATGTAAAGCTTGTAGGTTCCCAAGAAGAAACCAAAAGTCTCCTCTCCCCTTACTCCTTCCCTCCCGACAGATTCCATCAGCTGGGATGTCGGAACATGAAAGGCGGCAGATCAAGCAGCCAAGCATCGCCCACCCTGCTGACGGCACATTAGTTGAAAGAAGAAAGAGAGGAGGAGGAGGAGGAGGATGGATGCCGCCGCGATCGGCTGACTGGCAGTGAGCTTCCATCTACAACCGCATGAGAACTTTTCCCGGCATCTGATAAGACTCCCAAAAAGTGGAAGGAATTACAATCCCACTTTACCCCACCACAATGCACTCCGGATCCAATGGGGTGTGATAAATTTTTCAAGACTTCAACATTCCAGTTCAAAACATTAGCAATAGCCCCCGTTCCTGCAGACTGTGGATGAAGTTCACACCCAACGATGAAGAGTACTCCGCATGGGCGTGAGCTCAGACCATGACGAACGAAAACTCATACCAGCATCACGCCTGGAGACCACATTCCAACCTCAAGAATCAAGGGGAGGACATGAAAGCCTACCGATCCCTTCCCAAACACGATGCATTCCAATAAAGAATGGAATTTAAGTCCTTTGGAGGTCTTTACGACCTTTTAAATTCAATGCATCAATGTTATTCAAAATGAGTGTCGAAATGCAGCCTCTAGACAGACGAAAGGATAGTTAGAAGCATCTTTAATGGGGATTACACAGCTGAGATCCGCAGAATCACCAACAACTCACCTTCCTCAACTCAATGCCATCGTCGAATTGCACCTTGAAAGGGCCCATCTGCACCTCTCGAATAAGCTCCTGCCTCACATTTGTGCCGCGATATACTTCTTCCACAAGAGGCCTCTGGCTCGGACCGATAGGAGCATTCAGCAGCGGGCGAATTAGGGTGGGCCAATAATGCGCCGCCGTGTTGAAGGTGATGAGCGCGGCACGGCAGACATCCGGATCAGGATCTAGGATGTAGGCGAGTGCATCGAGAAATCGAGAGTCTTCCAGCAGGGTCTGAACGAGTTCCCGACGGTCGTTTAACGTGGTGATGGAGGCGTCAGCAATGTTAACAGTGTCTGAGACTGAGGCCATTCCGTTCTCGTCGTCTGGGTAATTAATGCTAGCAGCGACAGACAGGAGGTACTTGAAGGCCGTAACAAGTGTGCATCGTATGATGTTGGAGGATGCAGATGCCTGAGATTTCAACTGAAGGAAACGAACTAGTTGAAAAACTATCGCCCAGTTAACCAAGGCGATTTCAAGCGGGTCTTAAGTCCTCTTAAATGCATTCCTTTTTAAACAGATGCATTAAAAAAAGTGAAGCTTCAGAGAAGCTCGAAGAAAGAAATCCAATTACTCCTTCCTTATCTTCAAGGCGTAGCTAATAGTTGAAGACCAATTGAACAAATTTATAAAAATCTAGAAGAACGAGGGAAAACCACATGAACGATTGGCACCAAAACAAACCTCCGCGTGTAACCGCGCAACCAATTCCAGTGGTTGCAGAAGCGTAACTCTGCCGAGGCATTCAGCCACCACATTCCTTGTGCCCTCCTCTGGATGGCCCGCGTTCGACATCATAATTGACCTAGTCAAAAAATAGGACGTAAAGAGCGATATTTCATTGTCGGACAACCAAACGTGCAAGTGGACGTACCAGACCTCCTCCACATTGCGGTAGATGTGTTCCGCGGACCGAACTTCGACAAGATTTATAATAGCCTGTGAAGAAAGAAGACGAGGATAGTTCTAAAAATACAATGAAGACTAAAAGGCATTAGAAAAACGAACACCGATGGAGTCTATCAGACGCGACAGCTCAAAGTGGACACCGAAGTTGAAATTGGTATCCACTTTGTTCCTCTAGTCCTCCCAGCCAGTCTCCTACCTCTTGAATGAATGGAACACAAAATCGTCTCGGCGTGTAGGTAGAGTTAGCTCTAAACCCTTCACCGCGCAGTTCCCCCCGCCCTCCTCCTTAGTAAAGCCATTGCAAATGGATGGAATTAAAATAGCCCTATCATGGGTGAGTGAAGAGAAAATGCAACCCTCGAACTGCCCTGAAGGGAGGCAGAGCAACAACAGCTGTTGAGGTAACAAGAAGATGCGCCAAAGCAACTTCAGACGCTTGATCATCTGTCAACGAATCATTCTTTTCTTGTCCTGGCTACCAAAATTGAAAGTAACACAATCTGCCTTGATAAAGGAGGAGGAGGAGGAGGAGAAATGTGTTGATGTTGAAAGATTCTCAAATGCACCCAAAAAGTGCCCAGAATGATTGGCAAGATCCGTCTAAAAGCCAGCCAGCCAACTAGGGGGACAAACGTAAGGCAAGAATCATAAATCTCTTCCCAGACCACTTTCGAAAATCAAGAATTCCAAACAGAAGCCTATTGGATGACGACTAGATCCACAAAATTATCCTTCACATCACGAAATAGTTCAATTTTTCGGGTCGTAACCGAAGAACAAGACGTGATATCCGAGCACAAAGTAGAGCTTCAGCTGCAAGGACCTGAACATCGCTGATTTGACTAAAGAAAATCCCTTGTAATTCGATGCGAATTTTAAAAAAAATTGGGCCACAGAATTGAAAAGGCTCAGCTAACCTGCCGCAGCGTCTGGAAGAGGTAGAAGACCACCAAGGTCTGATCGTACTCTTGATGGAAGAACTGGAGAAGTTCGTGAACCGTTCCTGAGGGCGCTCCTGCAATCAGACGGCCTAAACTTGCGGCAGCTAGGGGTCGCAGGTCCGTGAAGCCATTATTACCAGCGCTACCGGTAGATGCCATCGTAGACGAGGGAGGAAATACAACAGATGAAGAGGACTGATCTTCACTCATAGGAGCTACTTGCTGCTCCGTAGCAGGGAGGATTGTCTCATTCATGATGACGTGGTCCATGAGAACGTCAAAGACATCTCCACGATGACTGATGTCGCTTAAATGAGAAAAAAGCAAATAATGAACAATGAGGGTTGAACACGTGATTTGACTTTAAACAATGGACCAAGGCGCCTTCCTAGGCTCACAAACACGAGACGCGATAAAATTTAACTCACATCCCGTATCCAACGTCCCCGAAAATAAGTATGTACACATAGCGTCGCGCGTAAGAGGTTGTCTTTTTCTACAACAAGCCCAACATACGAAATTCCCTAAGCATCCCATTAAAGGCATAATATGAGGGGAACAAAGTGGATTGAGATTACCTTCAGTTCTTCCACCATTTCCTCCAGAGTGGAGTCAATCGAATTCAACTGCCCGTAGCGTGGTAACTGGAGGATCAACTCAGCACAAACACGTGCCATGATGGGTAGATTACCCTTAATCTCCGTGAACTTCTCATTCGCCTCTACGGAGGTGTAACTATCTAACTGTCCGAGCACTTTCAATAGCATGAACTGCAACATGAGGGGAAAAAATCGACCTGAGTGGGGACACAAGAGCAATCCAAAAAGAGCAACGCCTACATTCCGCTTGCCAAACTCACTTTCACAGACAACTCATGGGATTCGAGTCTGTACATGCCGATGTTTTGCATCAGATGGAGCAAAGGGGTCAACTGAGATGTTCGATGAGGCTGTGAATGAGTGAGAGCAATAACCGGCCGCAAAAACGCCTCTGTCGCGTAAAAGTCGGCCACAACTGCGTGCTGAACCACGTCACAACGCGAACACTGTTTAATCACGCTGGCGGCTAATTCAAGAGCCTCCTGCACCACAGCCGGACTGGGATCATCAAGTAGCTGGGGCAGAAGAGGGAGAATGACGCTAACATTTTTATCCTCATTCAGAATGAAGTCACGTGGGAAGTGGGAGCAGATCACAGTGACACAGTGAATTGCGGCCACACGAAGATCACAATTACTCGCTTGCATCAAATTCAATAACGTCTTCATCAAATCGCGCTAAAAAAAGAATTTTTTGGCTATCAACTCTGCTTACCGACACAGGGCAGGTCTGCATACTTAGAGGACTTCTAAAAGTGCAAGAGAAAAATTAATTTTTTAACGGTATTCTATAACTAGATAAGAACTGTTTTCTTTAAAGTCACTTCATACGCAAAGATGACGGAAAGTGAACGAATGGCAGAAATTCGGGTCGTCTCGCTGTCCAAATAGTTGGTGAACTGATTCAGCGTCTCTTGGAGGCAATCGGGTGACAAATCCTGCCCCAATTGTTCAATAAAGTTCGAGCTGCAGTTGAAAAGTGGATAAAAGTTTGAGAAAGAGGCAAAGGATGACCTACACAGCAACCATTGCCTTCTCCTTAAGCTCAAGGTCGCATTTGACCATTTTAAGCTGATTCAGGAGGACCGGGAACAGAGTCACCATGGAAGGAAGCTGATCTAAAAGTAGACACAAATTCCTCATTCCCCACATCTCACGCCCAAGACAATTGGCTT